TGCAATAGCTGTTCACTAAAAATACTTGATTGGCAAGAAATGCATATTACAACATCTGATCAATTGTAGAAGTTCAATAGGAATTATTATACAACATTTTAAATACGCAATTGTTATTTTTTTGCCACCTGCAATATTATTCAGGATGCAACTGGGCAGGATGTGGGTAAAGCTTGCTGATGGTTTTAGGCAAGCACAAATATGACACAAACATAAATCAGGAAGACAGTACTAATGTTTTGACACAGACCTAACCATGGCTGTCATTAGAACACATAACAAGGGCTTTAGACTGGCAATAACCAATCGCTTAATTTCTGTACCATTCTTTTTACACACATTTAACTCAAACCTTTAAACAATTGACAGTAGCTTAAAAACTACACGCCGTTCCTCCTTTTCAACTCCACAATATGAAACAAAATAAGGCATTTCAGTGAGTATGTTTTGGAACCACATTTAACGATTTCTTTGCACCCCCACCCCAGTAAAAAAGAATGCTTACGGACTTCAACTGACTACTCTTCTTCTTAATATATATACAGTCCCAGTCAAAAGCTACACCTACTCATTCAATGGGTTTTCTTTATTTTTACAATTTTCTACATTGTAGAATAATAGTTAAGACATCAATACTATGTAATAACACATGGAATTATGTAGTAACCAACAAAGTGTTAAATAAATCAAAATATATTTTATATTTGAGATTCTTCAAATAGCCACCCTTTGCCTTGATGACAGCTTTGCACACTCTTGGCATTCTCTCAACCAGCTTCACCTGGAATGCTTTTCCAACAGTCTTGAAGGAGTTCCCACATATGCTGAGCACTTGTTGGCGGCTTTTCCTTCACTCTGCGGTCCAACTCATCCCAAACATCTCAATTGGGTTGAGGTCGGGTGATTGTGGAGGCCAGGTCATCTGATGCAGCACTCCATCACTCTCCTTCTTGGTAGAATAGCCTGGAGGTGTGTTGGGTCATTGTCCTGTTGAAAAACAAATGATAGTCCCACTAAAGGCAAACCAGATGGGATGGCGTATTGCTGCAGAATACTGTGGTAGCAATACTGGTTAAGTGTGCCTTGAATTCTAAATAAATCATAGTGTCACCAGCAAAGCACCCCACACCATCACACCTCCTCCTTCATGCTTCACGGTGGGAACCACACATGCAGAGATCATCCGTTCACCTACTCTGCGTCTCACAAAGACACAGCGGTTGGAACCAAAAATCGCAAATTTGGACTCATCAGACTAAAGGACAGATTTCTACCGGTCTAATGACCATTGCTCGTGTTTCTTGGCCCAAACAAGTCTCTTCTTCTTATTGGCGTTCTTTAGTAGTGGTTTCTTTGCTGAAATTCGACCATGAAGGCCTGATTCACACAGTCTCCTCTGAACAGTTGATATTGAGATGTGTCTGTTACTTGAACTCTGTGAAGCATTTATTTGGGCTGCAATTTCTGAGGCTGGTAACTCTAATGAACTTATCCTCTGCAGCAGAGGTAACTCTGGGTCTTTCTTTCCTATGGCAGTCCTCATGAGAGCCAGTTTCATCATAGCGCTTGTTGGTTTTTGAGACTGCACTTGTAGAAACTTTAAAGTTCGTCATGTTCCGGAATTGACTGACTCTTCATTTCTTAAAGTAATGATGCCTGGCGTTTCTTTTGCTTATTTCAGCTGTTCTTGCCATAAATGATTGGCTCAAACGCATTAAGGAAAGAAATTTCCACAAATTAACTTTTTACAAGCCACACCTGTTAATTTGAATGCATTCCCAAGTGACTACCTCCTGACGCGGGGTGAAGAGAATGCCAACAGTGTGCAAGCTGTCATCAAGCAAAGGGTTTGTACTTTGAAGACTCTCAATATAAAATATATTTTTGATAGTTTAACACTTACTTCTTTGCTACTACTTGATTCCATATTTTTGCATTCTTCACTATTATTTGAATTCTTACAATGTAGAACTAGTAAAAATAAAGAAAAACCTTTGATGATTAGGTTGTCCGAAACTTTTGGACTGGTGCAGTAGTATGGATGTATTATATGTATGTATATGTATATACACTGCTGCAAAAAAATTAAGGGAACACTTAAACAACACAATGTAACTCTAAGTCAATCACACTTCTGTGAAATCAAACTGTCCACTTAGGAAGCAACACTGATTGACAATACATTTCACATGCTGTTGTGCAAATGGAATAGACAACAGGTGGAAATTATAGGCAATTAGCAAGACACCCCCAATAAAGGACTGGTTTTGCAGGTGGTGACCACAGACCACTTCTCAGTTCCTATGCTTCCTGGCTGATGTTTTGGTCAATTTTGAATGCTGGCGGTGCTTTCACTCTAGTGGTAGTATGAGACAGAGTCTACAACCCACACAAGTGGCGCAGGTAGTGCAGCTCATCCAGGATGGCACATCAATGCGAGCTGTGGCAAGAAGGTTTGCTGTGTCTGTCAGCGTAGTGTCCAGAGCATGGAGGCGCTACCAGGAGACAGGCCAGTACATCAGGAGACGTGGAGGAGGCCGTAGGAGGGCAACAACCCAGCAGCAGGACTGCTACCTCCGCCTTTGTGCAAGGAGGAGCAGGTGGAGCACTGCCAGAGCCCTGCAAAATGACCTCCAGCAGGCCACAAATGTGCATGTGTCTGCTCAAACGGTCAGAAACAGACTCCATGAGGGTGGTATGAGGGCCCGACGTCCACAGGTGGGGGTTGTGCTTACAGCCCAACACCGTGCAGGACGTTTGGCATTTGCCAGAGAACACCAAGATTGGCAAATTCACCACTGGCGCCCTGTGCTCTTCACAGATGAAAGCAGGTTCACACTGAGCACATGTGACAGACGTGACAGAGTCTGGAGACGCCGTGGAGAACGTTCTGCTGCCTGCAAATCCTCCAGCATGACCGGTTTGGCGGTGGGTCAGTCATGGTGTGGGGTGGCATTTCTTTGGGGGGCCGCACAGCCCTCCATGTGCTCGCCAGAGGTAGCCTGACTGCCATTAGGTACCGAGATGAGATCCTCAGACCCCTTGTGAGACCATATGCTGGTGCGGTTGGCCCTGGGTTCCTCCTAATGCAAGACAATGCTAGACCTCATGTGGCTGGAGTGTGTCAGCAGTTCCTGCAAGAGGAAGGCATTGATGCTATGGAGTGGCATTGATGCTATGGACTGGCCCGCCCGTTCCCCAGACCTAAATCCAATTGAGCACATCTGGGACATCATGTCTTGCTCCATCCACCAACGCCACGTTGCACCACAGACTGTCCAGGAGTTGGCGGATGCTTTAGTCCAGGTCTGGGAGGAGATCCCTCAGGAGACCATCCGCCACCTCATCAGGAGCATGCCCAGGCGTTGTAGGGAGGTCATACAGGCACGTGGAGGCCACACACAGTACTGAGCCTCATTTTGACTTGTTTTAAGGACATTACATCAAAGTTGGATCAGCCTGTAGTGTGGTTTTCCACTTTAATTTTGAGGGTGACTCCAAATCCAGACCTCCATGGGTTGATACATTTGATTTCCATTGAAAGTTTTTGTGTGATTTTGTTGTCAGCACATTCAACTATGTAAAGAAAAAAGTATTTAATACGATTATTTCATTCATTCAGATCTAGGATGTGTTATTTTAGTGTTCCCTTAATTTTTTTGAGCAGTGTATATATATATATACACTACCGTTCAAAAGTTTGGGGTCACTTAGAAATGTCCTTATTTTCAAAAGAAAAGCAATTTTTTTGTCCATTAAAATAACATCAAATTGATCAGAAATACAGTGTAGACATTGTTAATGTTGGAAATGGCTATTGTAGCTGGAAATGGCTGATTTTTAATGGAATATCTACATAGGCGTACAGAGGCCCATTATCAGCAACCATCAGTCCTGTGTTCCAATGGCACGTTGTGTTTGCTAATCCAAGTTTATCATTTTAAAAGGCTAATTGCTCATTAGAAAACCCTTTTGCAATTATGTTAGCACAGCTGAAAACTGTTGTGCTGATTAAAGAAGCAATAAAACTGGCCTTCTTGAGACTAGTTGAGTATCTGGAGCATCAGCAATTGTGGGTTCGATTACAGGCTCAAAACACCAGTCTTAATGTCAACAGTGAAGAGGCGACTTCGGGATGCTGACCTTCTAGGCAGAGTTGCAAAGAAAAAGCCATATCTCAGACTGCCCATATTAATATTTTCTTTTTATTGGTCAGTCTGAGATATGGCTTTTTCTTTGCAACTATGCCTAGAAGGTCAGCATCCCGGAGTCGCCTATTCACTGTTGACGTTGAGACTGGTGTTTTGCAGGTACTATTTAATGAAGCTGCCAGTTGAGGACCTGTGAGGCGCCTGTTTCTCAAACTAGACACTCTAATGTATTTGTCCTCTTGCTCAGTTGTGCACCGGGGCCTCCCACTCCTCTTTCTATTCTGGTTAGAGCCAGTTTGTGCTGTTCTGTGAAGGGAGTAGTACACAGTGTTGTACGAGATCTTCAGTTTCTTGGCAATTTCTCACATGGAATAGCCTTCATTTCTCAGAACAAGAATAGACTGACGAGTTTCAGAAGAAAGTTATTTGTTTCTGGCCATTTTGAGCCTGTAATCAAACCCACAATAGCTGATGCTCCAGATACTCAACTAGTCTCAAGAAGGCCAGTTTTATTGCTTCTTTAATCAGCACAACAGTTTTCAGCTGTGCTAACATAATTGCAAAAGGGTTTCTAATGATCAATTAGCCTTTTAAAATGATTCATTTGGATTAGCAAACACAACGTGCCATTGGAACCCAGGACTGATGGTTGCTGATAATGGGCCTCTGTACGCCTATGTAGATATTCCATTAAAAATCAGCCGTTTCCAGCTACAATAGCCATTTCCAACATTAACAATGTCTACACTGTATTTCTGATCAATTTGATGTTATTTTAATGGACAAAAAAATTGCTTTTCTTTCGAAAACAAGGAAATCTCTAAGTGACCCCAAACCTTTGAACAGTAGTGTATATAAAAACAACAAGCAGGGAAAATGAGTGATGCAGAATTTCATGAAGAGTTATTGAGCAAGAGAGTGTCACTTTGACTCGGCCATCTCCAGGACTTCTCCGGCTGCTACAGTGACCAGTTGCAGGGGGATCTCAGCATTGGCCAGGATGTCCTGGGAGTTACTGGAGCCCTGCTGGATGTTGGTGAGGATGAGGGTGGTGCCGCCCGCCGTGATGATGCTGTCTGACGAGCCGGCGGATTCCATGGAGGCCACCACCGCATTGCTCACTGAGTTCATGCCTCCTTTCTTGTTCCGGTGAGTTTTAATGTGCTTGGCTAGGTGGTCGCTCCGCATGAAGCGCTTGGAACATTCTGGGCAGACAAACTTCTTCTCCCCTGTCACAGACAGAGAGAGACCAGAAAAGTTTTAACAGTAGGACAGACCAAACCATGTCACTTCTACATCACTACTATGAACTCATTATGTAATCTGTTTTACAGGACTAATGCTTTTATACTGAATGATATCTTTCCGAAGACAGAAGAGTACACTTTACATGGGTGAAAAGCGCAGCCTACAGGGTAGGTTTTCAAATGTAAAATGTAATGCAAATGTTGAGGTGAGTGAGGGTGCACCTGTGTGTGTCCTCCTGTGTCTCTGCAGTTCGTCGCTGCGTGTGAACCTCTTCCCACAGTACATCCAGCTGCAGACGAAGGGCCGCTCCCCAGAGTGCCAGCGCAGGTGCGCTCGCAGGTGGGACGTCTTCCCGTACACCTTCCCACAGCCCGGAATGTGACAGATGTGTTGCTTCTTCTTCCCCATGTTGGATCCTCTGAGAGAACACAAACAAACACACTCATATACTGTATTTACAGCTATATAGACGTGAACTTGCTCTGTTTTTTGGGCCTTTGCGCGCCAATGCTGGTGACCGGTCAACAGTCAAGATTTGCAACTTTTTTTGGGGGGGGTACAGTAGGACTGTGTTAGTAACCAGACAGAGGGCAATGGAGTTAATACAAAATATATGAAAACATTTATCTTTCCCATTCAGACCCCAAAACCTTGAGAACTAGTCATTTAAACACCAAATGTATAGGAAAGACTCTATCTAGCGTTTTCTGACCACTATAAGCTGTTGAGCACTGTAAGCTGGTCCTCTGTAGCTCAGCTGGTAGAGCACGGCGCTTGTAACGCCAAGGTAGTGGGTTCGATCCCCGGGACCACCCATACACAAAAAAAAAAAATGTATGCACGCATGACTGTAAGTCGCTTTGGATAAAAGCGTCTGCTAAATGGCATATTATTATTTATTATTATAAGCGTAGTCGCTATAAGCAGGGTACACGGTATGAGCTCACTCACCTCCCCCCAGCCTCTTTGCAGTTGGGGCAAGTGCAGGCCACCCTGCGTAGCCGCTTGCCCCCCTCGCCGAGCTGGTCCTCCTCATCCTCTAGCCTGACACGCAGGTGGGAAAGGTCACTGGTGTTCAGAGTGGAGTCACTGCCCAGCTGCCAGTCCTCTGAGTCCGGCTCCTCCTTTATCTGGACGTCTGGAGGGAGACCAATCAATCCACACATCAATATCAACACAAGCTTTAACAATTGCATGCTAAATGGACTGCAAAAGCCTCACAGTGAAAAGTGCTTCTTCGCTAAATGCTTTAAAAAGGATTTCATGACAGTTTGGCTATGAACAAATTAAAAACCCCTGTTCAAACTTGACAATGTGTGGATGGATAGCTTGACACAAAACCATTTGATGATTTATACTCCCTTCAAATCTTCAAATAATTTATAATATGCTTGTTTACATTATATCTCACAGATCTATAAAGGGTGTTAACTACCTGGTCAGAGAATTGTTTACATTTTTTTATTTTAGTCATTTAGCAGACGCTCTTATCCAGAGCAACTTACAATTAGGGTTAAGTGCCATGCTCAAGGGCACATCGACAGATTTTTCAGCTATTGGGCTGAAAATGTTGTTATTGTTACACACACACACACACACACACACACGTGTTCTGTTGTTAAATGTTTGTTCTTACAATAACAAGTTTGCAAATATTTTCTTATAAAGAAAACAACAACCAGACAATAATATACAGCTAATAATCCTCCCCAGAGCAGCGTAAATCATGCCTGATGCCTCAGGAGGCTTACATCATGTGACTCAATAATTAAATAGTCTACTTTCTGCGGATTATCTTTTTTTTCAGACCCCCATGTTTTCATACATTCAGTGCATTCGGAAAGTATTCAGACCCCTTGACTTTTTCCACATTTTGTTAGGTTACATCCTTATTCTAAAATGGATTAAATAAATGATCCTCATCAATCTACACACAATACCCCATAATAATAAAGAGAAAACTATTATTTATTTTTTTGCAAATGTATATACAGTACCAGTCAAAAGTTTGGACACACCTACTCATTCCAGAGCTTTTCTCTATTTTTACTATTTTCTACATTGTAGAATAATAGTGAAGACATCAAAACTATGAAATAACATACATGTAATCATGTAGTAATGAAAAAAGTGTTAAACAAATCATCATTCTTAAATGGAAGAAGTTTGGAACCACCAACACTCTTCTTAGAGCTGGCCGCCCGGCCAAACTGAGCAATCGGGGGAGAAAGGCCTTGGTCAGGGATGTGACCAAGAACCCGATGGTCACTCTGACAGAGCTCCAGAGTTCCTCTGTGGAGATGGGAGAACCTTCCAGAAGGACAACCATATCTGCAGCACTCCAATCAGGCCTTTACGGTAGAGTAGCCAGACGGATGCCACTCCTCAGTAAAAGGCACATGACAGCCCGCTTGGAGTTCTGGAGGAAACCTGGCACCATCCCTACGGTGAAGCATGGTGGTGGCAGCATCATGCTGTGGGGATGTTTTTCAGCGGCAGGGACTGGGAGACTAGTCAGGATCGAGGGAAAGATGAACGGAGCAAAGTACAGAGATCCTTCATGAAAACCTGCTCCATTACAGCTGTGAGTCTTTCTGGGTAAGTCTCTAAGAGCTTTCAACACCTGGATTGTGCAACATTTGCCCATTATTCTTTTCAAAATACAGTCAAATTGGTTGTTGATCATTGCTAGACAACCATTTTCAGGTCTTGCCATAGATTTTCAAGCAGATTTAAGTCAAAACTGTAACTCTGCCACTCAGGAACATTCACAGTCTTCTTGGTAAGCAACTCCGGTGTAGATTTGGCCTTGTGTTTTGGGTTATTGTCCTGCTGAAAGGTGAATTCATCTCTCAATGTCTGGTGGAAAGCAGACAACCAGTTTTTCTCTAGGATTTTGCCTGTGCTTAGCTCCATTCTGTTTCTTTTTTATCCTGAAAAACTCCCCAGTCCTTAACGATTACATTTATACCCATAACATGATGTAGCCACCACTATGCTTGAAAATATGGATAGTGGTACTCAGTAATGTGTTGCAATGAATTTGCCCCAAACATAACACTTTGTATTCTGGACAAAAAGTGAATTGCTTTGCCACATTTGTTGCAGTATTACTTTAGTGCCTTGTTGCAAACAGGATGCATGTTTTAGAATATTTGTATTCTGTACAGGCTTCTTTATTTTCATTCTGTCAATTAGATTAGTATTGTGGACTAACTACAATGTTGTTTATCCATCCTCAGTTCTCCTATCACAGCCATTCAACTCTGTAACTGTATTAAAGTCCCCATTGGCCTCATGGTGAAATCCCTGAGCGGTTTCCTTCCTCTCCGGCAACTGAGTTAGAAAGGAAACCTGTATCTTTGTAGTTTTGTAGTGACTGGGTGTATTGATACACCATCCAAAGTGTAATTGATAACTTCACAATGGGATATAATTTTTTTAAACCCATCTACCAATAGGTGCCCTTTACGAGGCATTGGAAAATCTCCCTGGTCTTTTTGGTTGATTCTGTGTTTTAAATTCACTGCTCAACTGAGGGACCTTACAGATAATTGTATGTGTGGGGTACAGAGATGAGGTAGTAAAAATTCATGATAAACACTATTATTGCACACCAGTGGAGGCTGGTGGGAGGAGCTATAGGAGGACAGGCTCATAGTAATGGCTGGAATGGAATGGTGTCAAACATGTGGTTTCCATATGTTTGATACCGTTCCATTCCAGCCATTACAATGAGCCCGTCCTCCTATAGCTCCTCCCACCAGCCTCCACTGTTGCACACAGAGTGAGTCCATGAAACTTATTATTTACATTTACATTTTAGTCATTTAGCAGACGCTCTTATCCAGAGCGACTTACAGTTAGTGAGTGCATACATTATTTTTTACATACAGGCCCCCCATGGGAATCTAACCCACAACCCTGCCATAGCAAACGCTATCCTCTACCAACTGAGCTACATCCCTGCTGGCCATTCCCTCCCCTACCCTGGACGACGCTGGGCCAATTGTGCGCCGCCCCATGGGTCTCCCAGTCACGGCCGGCTACGACAGAGCCTGGATTTGAACCAGGATCTCTAGTGGCACAGCTAGCACTGCGATGCAGTGCCTTAGACCACTGCGCCACTCGGGAGACCAATGTGACTTGTTAAGCACATTCTTACTCCTGAACTTATTTAGGCTTGCCATAACAAAGGGGTTGAATACTTATTGACTCAAGACATTTTAAATTTTCATTTTTAATTAATTTGTACAACTTTAGAAAAACATAATTCCACTTTGACATTATGGGGTATTGTCTGTAGGCCAGTGACAAAAAAATCTAAATGTTATCAATTTGAAATTCAGGCTGTAGCACAACTAAATGTGGAATAAGTCAAGGTGTGTGAATACTTTCAAAGGCGCTGTACAACCACCAGTGTTTACATTTTACATTTTAGTCATTTACAGTGGAGAAAAAAAGTATTTAGTCAGCCACCAATTGTGCAAGTTCTCCCACTTAAAAAGATGAGAGGCCTGTAATTTTCATCATAGGTACACGTCAACTATGACAGACAAAATGAGAAAAAAAAATCCAGAAAATCACATTGTAGGATTTTTAATGAATTTATTTGCAAATTATGGTTGAAAATAAGTATTTGGTCAATAACAAAAGTTTCTCAATACTTTGTTATATACCCTTTGTTGGCAATGACACAGGTCAAACGTTTTCTGTAAGTCTTCACAAGGTTTTCACACACTGTTGCTGGTATTTTGGCCCATTCCTCCATGCAGATCTCCTCTAGAGCAGTGATGTTTTGGGGCTGTCGCTGGGCAACACGGACTTTCAACTCCCTCCAAAGATTTTCTATGGGGTTGAGATCTGGAGACTGGCTAGGCCACTCCAGGACCTTGAAATGCTTCTTACGAAGCCACTCCTTCGTTGCCCGGGCGGTGTGTTTGGGATCATTGTCATGCTGAAAGACCCAGCCACGTTTCATCTTCAATGCCCTTGCTGATGGAAGGAGGTTTTCACTCAAAATCTCACGATACATGGCCCCATTCATTCTTTCCTTTACAGGGATCAGTCGTCCTGGTCCCTTTGCAGAAAAACAGCCCCAAAGCATGATGTTTCCACCCCCATGCTTCACAGTAGGTATGGTGTTCTTTGGATGCAGCTCAGCATTCTTTGTCCTCCAAACACGACGAGTTGAGTTTTTACCAAAAAGTTCTATTTTGGTTTCATCTGACCATATGACATTCTCCCAATCCTCTTCTGGATCATCCAAATGCACTCTAGCAAACTTCAGACGGGCCTGGACATGTACTGGCTTAAGCAGGGGGACACGTCTGGCACTGCAGGATTTGAGTCCCTGGCGGCGTAGTGTGTTAGTGATGGTAGGCTTTGTTACTTTGGTCCCAGCTCTCTGCAGGTCATTCACTAGGTCCCCCCGTGTGGTTCTGGGATTTTTGCTCACCGTTCTTGTGATCATTTTGACCCCACGGGGTGAAAGCTTGCGTGGAGCCCCAGATCGAGGGAGATTATCAGTGGTCTTGTATGTCTTCCATTTCCTAATAATTGCTCCCACAGTTGATTTCTTCAAACCAAGCTGCTTACATATTGCAGATTCAGTCTTCCCAGCCTGGTACAGGTCTACAATTTTGTTTCTGTCCTTTGACAGCTCTTTGGTATTGGCCATAGTGGAGTTTGGAGTGTGACTGTTTGAGGTTGTGGACAGGTGTCTTTTATACTGATAACAAGTTCAAACAGGTGCCATTAATACAGGTAACGAGTGGAGGACAGAGGAGCCCCTTAAAGAAGAAGTTACAGGTCTGTGAGAGCCAGAAATATTTCTTGTTTGTAGGTGACCAAATACTTATTTTCAACCATAATTTGCAAATAAATTCATTAAAAATCCTACAATGTGATTTTCTGGAAAATAAATTCTCAATTTGTCTGTCATAGTTGACGTGTACCTATGATGAAAATTACAGGCCTCTCTCATCTTTTTAAGTGGGAGAACTTGCACAATTGGTGGCTGACTAAATACTTTTTTTCCCCCACTGTAGCAGACGCTCTTATCCAGAGCGACTTACAGTTAGTGAGTGCATACATTATTTTTATTTATTTTTCATACTGCCCCCCCGTGGGAATCGAACCCACAACCCTGGCGTTGCAAACGTCATGCTCTACCAACTGAGCTACATCCCTGCCGGCCATTCCCTCCCCTACCCTGGACGACGCTGGGCCAATTGTGCGCCGCCCCATGGGTCTCCCGGTCGCGGCCGGCTACGACAGAGCCTGGATTCGAACCAGGATCTCTAGTGGCACAGCTAGCACTGCGATGCAGTGCCTTAAACCACTGCTCCACTCAGTGTTCTCCACTATTATGTTGTGCATGTCTGCTTGATGTGTGCATGATGCAGGAGGAGACCATACCTCCAGGGCTGTCGGTGTCCTCTGCCTGCTGGTACTGAATGCCTGCCTGGACCAAAGAGTTGACGGTCACAGTCTGCAGGTTGGGGATCTGTTGCGCTCCTCCCTGGCCCAGAGACAGGGTTTGCAATGGGGCAAGGGTGATCTGCTGGGCTGGGTTGGTGGGCAGCTGGAGGTTCTGGAGGTTCTGGACCCCCTGCACCTGAAAGGTTTGCCACTGGATCTGCCCTGAGGCCGTGACGGTCTGGGCCTGGATGATGAAGGTCCCTGGGTTGATGAGCTGAACGTTCTGCATGGTATGCCCCCCTGCTGCCTGCACCACCTGACCATCACTGGTCTGGACTGGCACCTGCTGCAGCTGGATGATGGACTGGCCGGAGGACACCTGGATGTTCTGGACCTGGTTCTGCTGAATGTAGCCCTCCTGGAGACCAGAGGGGTCTGTCTGCTCTGTGGCGTGGGTTAGAACACCCGTCTCATCCATGGCCTCAGGCAGCTGGGCGGAGGACGTTGGCACATACATGTCTGCATTAGCATTCGAGTCATTTACAGATAGTGTTTGTGAGAGCTGGTCACCTGTCTTCTCCAAACTCTCAGAGCTGTCCACAGGCTGACTGGTCATAATGAGCTGGCCATCAGAAGTTACCCCTGTTGCTATAGTCTGAGCACCAGAGAGGCCCAGGGAGTCCAAGTCCACACTGCTAATGGGGACAAAGGTGATGTTCCCTGGCAACCCCATAGGCACATTAGTGACAACCTGACCCTGGTTGTTAAAGGTGGAGCTGCCGATAGAAACTCCCTGGATATGCTGGACCTGACCAGTCTGTGATATGAGGTTCTGGTTGTTAGTAAGGATGTCTACAGCCCCAGTCACACTTATAGTCTGAGTTCCTTCTGGCAAGATCTGGATCTGCCCTGTGGCATCTTGGCTCAGAGTGGCCCCCTCCACACTGGAGGTGGAGAAGCTTAGTTGCTGTCCATCAGCTGTCTGAATGTACTGAATGTTAGGCACTGCGTTGGCGGAGGTGTCGCTTCCTGATGTCACAAAGATTGGTTGGCTCTGAAGGTTCTGGAGAGGAAGAACATACTGTCCATTTGATGTCCCGATCCCCTGACTCTGGAACATGCCAGGTTCCTCCTTCCGTGTTGTTGTGGGGGTCAAAACCTCCCATCTATCTGGGTTCCCTGTTAACTGGATGGATGTTAGGTCTGTCGTCTGCGGAATAAAAAATATTGTTTTGGTGAATAAAAACAATTCATTTGCAGAGAAGGTGCATCATTAAGATGCAGATTGCAACATTGACATTAATTATGTAATGTTAGACATAGCAGTGAAATATTTACTTACATAAAAAACAGCAAGACCAATTATTTATTGTATTTATTGTATTCAGCCAGTTGGAAAAGGCATAGCATGATTAGTTATGAATCACCACAGCATGATTAGTTATGAATCACCACAGCATGATTAGTTATGAATCACCACGTGCATAGAAATCACAAAAGGTATTACCATTCATGAAGAATATTGGAATAAGAGCTTGGTGCTGCTTGTTCACACGATTTAGCAACATATTTGAAGATTGGTTTACAGGAGTTTAATGACCATAGTAATGTTTGTCTAGAGGTGCATGAGAACCCTAACTTTATAGTGTGTGATCCAAATATGAGCACACTACATGATGGCCTTTGGGCATATCTCTGCCGACACAACTCGCGTTCTATTGATTAAAGATAGCTACATTTTGGGGTCGACTACATTCTAGCAGAGCCAGAGGTGGTGACTTACCACTACAACGGCAGCACCGTTACCCCCATCTGATGATGCCGACTCGATCTTGCTGCAGGTAGCTGCCAGCAGAGCAAGCGATGACGACTGAGTGTCCTACCCACAATGGGCGGGTTTAAAAGGAAGAAAGTGGGTGGCCGTTAGTCCGGAGCCACACAGGAAGTTCTACTTTTACTACAAATGTTAAAACGTGTGAACTTCACAAAGCACCACGCACTTACTGAAACGCTAACCGAGAAGCATACGAGGGCAATTTCTAAATAGTAACGGTAGCTACCTGATCTCCTGTGCCACAGTCTTGCTGCAGAAACTTGCTTTGACTGCTGTCCACGTCCAAGGCAGCCATTTCCTCTTGTTTCACTGGCTGTTCTGGGGCTAACGTCACAAGGTACAAAAAGAAGAAAACGGAGCAAAACAAACCAGAGTTAAGTTAAATCTCCACACGGAAAATGTGTTTCTAGCTATTCCACTAGCTATAACGTAACACTTCAAGCTGGACTGACCTCCATTACAGCTGCGGTGTGGAGTTGATCAAACTGTCTGAAGCCTTAGCTAGCTACGTATGTGGTAGTTGTGGCTAGCATGCACGCTAACGTTCACTCTTGGCTAAGCTGTTGGAAAAAGATTAGCCAGCTAGCTAACATTAGCTTAGCTAAAGGGTGCAAACATACCGATGTTTAGGTTGAACATTACATACCAGTCATTGCGTCAATTATTTTATTTCGCAGAATCTGTATTATCACAAGCGAAACATGATTACAGTAATCGAAGGCTGGCTGCAATCGGTGATTCTAGTCAATCGTTTCTATTTTGATTGACGGTGCGGGAAACACAAAGGGTGGGGCCTCCAAGATTGGGTAACGCACAGGAAATCCCGCCGTTCTTCTTAAACCCAATTGGATACCGTATTTTATTCCCTGCATTAGCATTCGCCAGTGTACATGTCAGTCATTTTCTGACTAATTCTCTTCCTGTTTATTATTCTCTTAACAAGAAGAATATGGTGCCAGGAGCTATGCTGTACATCGATAAGCGTTCATGTATCCAAGCGTTCTGCAGCCACAGTGGATTTTAAACATAATCTTAATTGATTTCACTTACCTCTCAATTTAGGTAATTTATGCCTAGCTAAACTTAAAGCCAGCTAGTGTAACTATTTGCCAATTAAACTGTCATTGCATGGGGATTCCAGAGGCAGGTCGACCCTTGGTTTTACAAGATAAGATGTGATGACTGCATTTGTAGCTAGATACTTGCCTTGTGTTGGCAGCTGAATAAAATAGATTGGCCCAATTTAGATGTACAGTTTCACTAATCATAGCTATCGATTGTCAACTGTTCATCACAGTGATTTTGACAGTCTGACAGTAGTTGTGATTATGCGCAAAGGCTAGGAACACCAAAAGTAGACATCATTGTACACTGTTATACTCTATGTACATTTTAATATTTTGCTTTCTCTAATAAGTAAACTGTTCATTTATATAATGAAATATGGCTGTGGTATTTTATGTTCATATTGAATGGTGATTTTGGAATTCTTACTGGGGTGAGCTCATGCACCAAAGGTGACCTTTCAAACAGTAAGAATAATACATTCTACCATACTTGCCATCATTCCTAAGGAAAGGTTATTTCCACCTTGTTTCTATCATGGAAGTTAGCACAGAGGTCCTTGAAAAATACTGGTAGGGTATTAGGCAAGGGTACAATAGATAAACAGCTGCTATCCAGTTCACTGCTAGTGCTTCCCTGTAAAGTGAGTTATAGCATATATCACATTTTTTCATTAACTATCTTGTACATAGAATGCAATATTGACAAGATTGCATTGAAATCTAATATAATTGTGTTGTATTGCCTCTCCTCTGTCTGTGATGCAAGGCCCTCACTTCTTCTCCAGAGTATTATTTGCGGTGTGTCAGTTCCTCACAGAGTGCGACCAGAGTGGGGCCATTTCTCTCAACCTTCAATTCTAACTTGGCCCATTACAAGCAGACTACAAAAGCACTTTTCTGGCACTCAGGAGCTCACACCAGTGAATGGTGGATATTTCCAATCACTCTGCTGTCAATCCAAGTGTCAGGTAAACACAGGCCTACGGAAACAGCCTTTAGAAATTCTTGCAGCTATGTCTGTCGGTCTTACTCCAGTCCAAGGAAAGTTATCAGCAATTTCAACAAAGAAATCCAAGTTAAAAGGAAAAGTCGAATATAGATCCTAATAGGAGCATACATCTAATCCACTTTTTTTTTGTTTCCAATTCCAACTGCACCTATGGATAAGGAACATTAGATTGTATTGGTTTTATTGACTGGTCCTATATTCAACATACACCTGCTGAGAATGTGATGAGCAGACTATCTTTTCATAGCAATTACCCAGTGGGAGTTTTGATGCAACAACGAGTAAGCTGTTCAATACAAGGGTCTGTATAGCTCTTTACAGTTCCATCAATATTCAGTTTATCTTTCAATATTATATTTACACCAAATGTAAGTTGAATTGAATGGCATCACATCTTTCACTACTACTGTATTTTAGCACTGCAATTGATTGTGTATTCAGTAACAACAATAGCTTATAGTGTGTTAAAGGGGAAAATGAGATAACCACAAGGTTAAACGATGCTGGATAAGATTAATCATATTAATTAAAGCAGACAACCCTTGGGCTCCCGAGTGGCGCAGCGGTCTAAGGCACTGCATCTCAGTCCGGGTTTGGCCGGTGTAGGCTGTCATTGTAAATAAGAATTTGTTCTTAACTGACTTGCCTAGTTAAATAAAGGTTAAATTAAAATATCTGTCATTGTCCAGAATGAAGCAGTGAGGCACAGCGTGTACTTGGTCAGCCAGGAAGAAAAGAACAGGATCAAAACACAAGCTGTGAAGGTGTCATATTAACATATTGACAGTTGTTTCCATGAGGTCCAAGAGAGAGGTGACCCCATGGGGAGAAACTGCCCTGCTGGAAACACCTTGTGGGACACTGTAAATGGTGCCTCAGAGGGAAAATGTAAAATGGTGCAAGGAGGAAGAATTGTGGATAGAATACCAAATGGATCTGGATTACAACTTTGAGAAAGGCATAAATATAGACACAGAAACATTATCCTGGATTTCTATGAGTCACTCCGGTTCAGCTGTGGAGCAGGAGGTCCAAAGTGTAGGTACCCACTTATCTCCTGTATTGTAGAAGGTTGGACATATTCAGTTGGACAAGTCACTCCCTGATCGTCATTTACACCCAATGAAACCCAGTTTACTATATCAAGGGCAAATAACACAGGCCTGCAATGTACACAATGGCCTCCTCTCATAAATTGAACAAGGGATATATTCTGGAATGATTTGCCCCTTTTGAAAAATAATCATATTTCTTTCCATTTTGAGTATAAAATGTTACTTAATACTTTCTGGGGGAGAATCATATTCAAATGATTTCCAACCCATCTGTCAGGTCAGCTTGTGACCTTTGGGCCTATCAATAAACAAACAGATTTCAGTTTCGTAAATGTAAAGGAATGTCGCTCTGGATAAGAGCGTCTGCTAAATGACATAAAAAAATAATTTACCTATTTGGGTGGTAAATGTCAATGTGTGCCTTAGTCAAATCATTAATTTAATCTGATTTTGACTCCTTCTAGTCTGAAGTACAGAATAACCTGAGCGGGTCCATCATGTGGATGTTTGAAGATTATTTTGTACTGTGTTTAGTTAAAAAATAAAAAATAATCCTAAACAGACACTGGGATCCCCTCAAGAACCATTGAATGCAATTATTCAACAGTACTATGGAATTTCCAAACACATATCCCTTGTGTGTGCATTGTTTGTACTCAACATGTCAAGGTTATTTATGTGTTTATTTATCATCCCATAAATTCTTTGTAATTTCTCAAGTTCTTTTGGGGTTAAGCCTGAACTATTGTGACTATTGTGGCTGCAACCTGGACTCAGGGGTAGACGTAACATAGTAAACACAAATCCGGACACCCAAATTAGTATGCTATGTTACGTTTGGTATGGTATGTATTAATTCGTGGATGTCCATCATCCATTTCGTATGATATGTTGCGAATTACAATTCGCATTATGTTATTACAATTAGTTGTTGCTAACGTTAGCTAGGTGGCTAACGCTAACATTAGCTAGGTGGCTAACGTTAGCTAGGCTAGGGGTTAGGGGTTAAATGCCCACATCAGTAGAAATCCACTTTTCTGAGCTGAAAGACGATGCCCAGAGCTTACCCATGATGTAGCACTACCACTTAAGTCAATAAGTCATCGTTTTAATCAAAGTATGATATATTTGGGCTTGAATGCCAAATCCGAACTGCCCACTTCATGCAAATCCGTGTGAATGCGGTGTCTTTCCCTATGATATGACATACAAATAGTTTTCAGCCTGCATTTAGTTTCAGGGCTGGGTTTTATTTGAACATTACCCCCACCAGTATGGCATTGTTTATTAATCAGAAACGGCTGCAAAGTTATTCCTCTTCGTGACTGAGATGAGCCAAACAGCCTTGTGTCCAATTGGCCGCCTGAGCCAGGGAGCAAATAAAAATAGGGTGTGCAAACTAATGTTTTTGCACCTCCTTTTTTAAACCAGAAAATTACAATACAATTGGCTAATTTGTCAATTTTCACTTATTTTTTAGGTACTCTGTAAAAATATATATATATACAGTACCAGTCAAAAGTTTGGACACACCTACTCATTCCAAGTTTATTTTTAATTTTTACTGTTTTCTACATTGTACAATAATAGTGAAGACATCAAAACTATGAAATAACACATATGGAATCATGTAGTAACCAAAAAAGTGTTAAACAAAAAAAACCAAAAATACACTACCATTCAAAAGTTTGGGGTCACTTAGAAATGTCCTTGTTTTCGAAAGAAAAGCAATTTTTTTGTCCATTAAAATAACATCAAAATTGATCAGAAATACAGTGTAGACATTGTTAATGTTGGAAATGGCTATTGTAGCTGGAAATGGCTGATTTTGAATGGAATATCTACATAGGCATACAGAGGCCCATTATCAGCAACCATCAGTCCTGTGTTCCAATGGTATGTTGTGTTTGATAATCCAAGTTTATCATTTTAAAAGGCTGAAGATCTCGTACAACGCTGTGTACTACTCCCTTCACAGAACAGCGCAAACTGTCTCTAACCAGAATAGAAAGAGGAGTGGGAGGCCCCAGTGCACAACTCCGGGATGCTGACCTTCTAGGCAGAGTTGCCTCCCACTCCTCTTTCTAATGGACACCCACTGTTATTTTAATGGACAAAAAAAATTGCTTTTCTTTTCGAAAACAAGGACATTTCTTAGTGACCCCAAACTTTTGAACGGTAGTGTATATATTTGAGATTCTTCAAAGTAGCCACCCTTTGCCTTGATGACAGCTTTGCACACTCTTGGCAAAAGATAGCCCTATTTGGTAAAAGACCAAGTCCATATTATGGCAAGAACAGTTCAAATAAGCAAAGGGAAACGACAGTCCATCGTTACTTTAAGACATGAAAGTCAGTAAATCTGGAAAATGTCAAGAACTTTCAAAGTTTCTTCAAGTGCAGTCGCAAAAACCATCAAGCGCTATGATGAAACTGGCTCTCATGAGGACAGCCACAGGAAATTACCTCTGCTGCAGAGGATAAGTTCATTAGAGTTAACTGCACCTCAGATTGCAGCCCAAATAAATGCTTCACAGAGTTCAAGTAACAGACACATCTCAACATCAACTGTTCAGAGGAGACTGTGTGAATCAGGCCTTCATGGTCGAATTGCTGCAAAGAAACCACGACTAAAGGACACCAATAAGAAGAAGAGACTTGCTTGGGCCATGAAACATGAGCAATGGACATTAGACAGGTAGAAATATGTCCTTTGGTCTGATTAGTCCAAATGTGAGATTTTTGGTTCCAACCGCCGTGTCTTTGTGAGACGCAGAGTAGATGAACGGATGATCTCCGCATGTGTGGTACCCACCATGAAGCATGGAGGAGGAGGTGTGATGGTGTGGGGGTGCTTTGCTGGTGACACTGTCAGTGATTTATTTAGAATTCA